TGGGCAAATGAAATGGTGAAGCCCAGCTCCTTGTGGTCCCCGACTGCTTTCCAGGCAAGACCACTACGTTCCTTGATGTCCTTTTCACCATGAATGATCTGAGCAGAAACCTGCATGAGCGGACAGTGGCAGTGTCGGTTGGGGTGGGGGAGCTTTTTCCTTTTGTCCATTTTCCTTTTGTCCTTGCCCCCCCCCAGCTTTCCCCCAACACTTAAGCTACAAAATAATATAATACTGGATGGCTTTAAGATGGATACAAGAATGTACTGCATGAGCTGTGACAAAATTGCACGAGTCGAAGATGAGTGCAATATTGTCGTAGCTAGTCCAATATATTCTTGTATCCCCTGAAAAAAGCCATCCAATATTATAGGTTTTCCCAGCCAATGTCGTAAAATGTTCATTCACTTCGAAAGTCGGTCATTCATTTTCGTCTGAATTTGAGAATCGCTCTGAACACGTGTTTCATTTTCGCTACCACAGCATTCGATTCCATTTCAGTTCAATAAATTAAGTGATTGAGCAGCACCTTTCAGCTTCATTCAGATTCGTTTACAAGCATTTTTTTTTTGCTTTTAGAGGGCATTTTCAAAAATTCACCATTCTATTTCACTTTTAATTTAATGTCATCAGCACCAGATACAATTAGGGGTTTCTTTTTCATTAACTGTCAATCAAATTAGCGTACCTGAAATCAATTTCGAAAAAGTATGCTTGCGTTAATGAATGCACAGAAAAATTAATTGGCCGTCTGTTTCTCAAAACCGAATGCACGGACAATGAAAACGATTGAACTTTCGTTGAATTGATATGAGATTAAAGCCGTGCATTCAAATTCAGACGAAAGTGAATAACCGATTTTCAGAAGTGAATAGACATTTCATGAAATTAGCCGAGAAAACCTATATTATTATTATTTATATCCTCCTCTACGGTTGCAAGTCCTGGACCCTGACCAGACAGATCTCTGCATCCATTGATGGCACCTTAGGTGACCTATACACGGATGTTGCGGGCTGTTCAGAACGTTTCTTGGCAACATCTCCCTAACTCTGTTCTGTATGGTGCCCTTCCCCCTATCTCCACCATCATCAGACAGCGTCGCCTTCGGTTAGCCGGTCACGTTTATTAACATAATGAGCCAGCTAGCCAAGTTCTCTGGAATCCTGAAGCCCCTCGACGAAAAGGTTGTCGCAACATGACCCTGAAAACATCCATCGAGCTAGAAACTGGTCTGAGCGGTCCATCTCTTTCTAACACTATGCTCGACAGGGACAGTTGGGCCCAACTCATCAAGTCATCATGAAAATGAATGAATGAAGAAGAAGAAGATTCCTATCCCCAAGAATTTTAATATTACATTCATGAATGATGTCAGACCAGTGGCCTTAACAGCCATACCAATGAAAGTGTGTGAACAATTGTTTAAGAGTGTTCTGGGTGGTTTGTATCTAGTTTTATGGACCCTATGCAGTTTACCTATCAGAGAAATCGTAGTTGTAGTGACGCTATCTTACTCATTTTGGATAAGTTGATATGCTCACTTAGAACGAGCTCAATATGGTTGACTTGATTCAGGCTGACTTGATTCAAAAGAAATACAAGACACCGTCTTCATTTCTCCTTTTTCGTCAAACTATTTGAAGCTGCCATTGTGATTATTGACACCAGTGCGCATATACCCCTGTGCTGCATGCTCACTGCATGCTCGCTGCATGGGCGTCCATGTTCAATGGTGCCACGCGCTAAGCTTTGTTGAGTGGTTGACAACTGTGTTTCTACGCTCTTGATTGTGCCGGAACCAGCAAAAATGCCTAGATGAGGGTGTGTCAGACAAATTTTGCTGTCATCCGGGTACGTTTTACATTTTTACCGCTGGAAGCCTGATATAAATAAGGGAATAAATGTGTGCTTCGGAGGTTTTTATCACTCTGTTTAAGACCACTTAGAGTCTGGGTGCTGATAATTACCCGAGCCGGAGGCGAGGGTAATTATCAGCACCCAGACTCTAAGTAGTCTTAAACAGAGTGATAAATACCGACGGAGCACATATTTATTCCCATTCATAAATACCTTTTCGGTAAGAAAAAATCATATAATTCGTTCAAAACATCCCGATTTTGTTCAACAAATTCACTTTATGCTTTTTGAAACATCCCTCTTGCAAAATAATGGAGTATTCAGCTGGCGGGTAAGATGTAAACAACCCTTTTATGGAGATTGACGCGCGCGTAGCATGTTCTGCAGGATGTCGCGCAGAACGCACCTGGCGCGTTGCGTATTGAATTTAGAACTATAAAATTCTGACTCCCTGGTAGTGTTGCACATGCCTACGTGAGGATTGTGAACGTTCAACCAATGAAACGATAAGAGGCACTGGATTTTTAGGAGTCCACATTTTATTGTGACACTGGAAAAGTGTTTAAGACCAGCTAGCCATGTCTTTATCATCCGTTTAAGACCGGCCACGTGACGGGCTCTCGACCAATAGGAATGCGTAAACTGTCTTAGGTATTTATGAATAATAATTATGTTTATTCTCTTCGCTGTTAAGATTCACAATAAGTTGAAGATAGAGAGTGAATCATGGGTTCTGTGGACACATTTTGGGCCATTGAAAGCATTATACACATTGGTACTTTGGTAGACGAAACGTGCCACACATGCATTCTAAGTGGCTCTAGAGGCTTATTTCCGAACCATTCACTGCCCCCCCCCCAAAAAAATACTTCCTTGTCCCCCCCCCTATGTTAGAGTCTGGTGCCGCCACTGTGAGAGGGCACCTTTGATGGTCTTGAGTGGCTCCTGGTTTGCTACATTGTAGGCCATGTATTCCGTCTTTTGGCATTGAGATGCAGCCCGACTTTGTTGCACTCAGTTTCTACTATTGACAAAAGGGCCTGAGCATCTGTGATTTCGTCTTATAGCAGAGCGATGCCGTTGGCAAAGTCCAGATCAGATAGTGTCACCGGACCAATCCCCCTGGACTTCCTTGGTGTGATGGTGAAGCCCAGCTCCTTGTGGTCTCCAACTGCCTGCCAGAGGGCGTAGTCAAGAACCATGACGAAGATGACGGGCGCCAACATCTCACCTTGTAGTACCACAGCCTGTAACTTAAAACTTAAGTCTTGCATTGGTGGTATGGATCCCATAAACTTGCACAGTACTCGAGCTTTGGTCTAACCAACGTCTTATAGGCAGTCTCCCTAACTCCTACAGAGCAGCTGTATACAATTCTGCATAAAAGACCCAGTATTTTATTTGCTTTGGAGATATTTGTGTTGATTTGATCAGCCCAGCTCAGTTTGTTGTTCAACCTTAGTGTTGACCCTTAGTCCTCCTGTACAAACACAATAATGCTTTCAGGAGCGATAGTCAATATTACCGACAGCTCCCCGAGGTATTGGAAGTTGACAAACTAGTTTTCGAGGTGAAGCTGAGGGAACTAGTTTGTCAATTTCCATTACTGAGGGAGAGCTAATATCTATTACCCACTCGAAATAAGCCATGTTTTATTTGTTTTACTATACCTCAAAGTTGTGACTATGTAGTCACAACTTTTTGGTCAAGTTATGCTCGGCAAAATCTTGCTCTGCGATAACAACCCTCTTTTTTTTCGGCTTTTAAGATCAAGGGTGGATCCGGGGGGGGCACCAACAGGGACAATGGCCCCACAAAACGAACCCATTTTTTTTAAGTGACGGAGGCAGGCACTGTGTAGGCCTACACCAACATCTTTTAATTAAAAAAAAAATGTACATCGGGTCAAAAATTGCCTCAGATCGCACAACAGAGCATCTAGAGTCCAAAAACTTTTCGGGCCCCTTGAGCGGGCCCCGAACCACACGCCATAATTTTTGGGACCCACTTTTTGGGGGGCTAACAATTTTTTTGCCTCCCAAATTTTTTGTTTTGTCTGGATCCGCCCTTAAGTGTTTAAGGTTATAACAATTTCTAACAATTTTAGGTTGTGCCAATGACCTTAACTTCTCTACGAATTCTAGATTTCAGATTACCCCCCCCCTCCCCCAACAAACAAACTTTTTTTTAAAAATAAATAGATAAATAACTAGAAGAAATAGCAAGATTGATCCATGATCTCTATTTATTATAGGCCTATAGAGATCAGTGACTGCATCCCATGTCAAAGTTATCAATGATTTACTGAGCTGCTATACTGGCGAAATTTAGTCAATTAGTGGATAATAATTACGGAAGTATACGAAAATTCAAATTCTTATTTAAAAATATAATAATTCCGTATGGTTTGCGCGGCAACTTCCCGCCGGCAAGGTGAAATCCCAGAGATTTCAAAAATATCGACATGAAAAAGCCGTCTGTTGTGAATCAGTCGTGTTTCCCGACATTTCCTGCATGTTGTGAAAGGACGTCCTGACGGGCAACAGACGCTGACAGCGTAAAACATGACACTGTCCGAACGACAGTTTACGCGTTGACAAGTTGCAACAAAATCAGTCAAGAAAAGGCGAGTAAAAACACCTTTCCACTCCCTAGATTAAATTAGATATTCAGTATGTTAATAAGTGATTTTTCCTTTGTGTGAGAGTGTTAGAATAAATTCTATTGCAATTTGTTCTAGGTCAAGGCCTGTTTTGTCATAAATTGACCGGACTATTTGTGTGTCTCGGTACAAAAATAAAACCTGTTTGTTTATGGTGTAAATCAAGGATTTGCTTTTGTTCGTCTTCCCTTTTCCTTTGTTTGTACCTCAACTTTTTGCAAAAGCTCTCATTGGTTTTGTAAATGTTTTCCAACCAAAGAGTCCTCAATTCGGTTTCTGACCTTGATTCACTGATGATGTTGCAGGTGTGTGTCCTCGACTTACATCATAAACAAATGCATCTATACACACACAAGGAATACGCTATCGCAATATCCCCCTTTGACTTACAGCAAGAGGGATAATACCAAAAAAAAGGAATACGTTGTATTACATTCTCTGCACTACTTAAGACAAAGTCAAGTACTGGACAAATGCATAATGAAATATCTTATATTTTAATTGAATGTTCACTCAAACTTTTTTTTGGTCATATGTGTTTAATCATTTAACCCATTACCACTTGTACTACATTGTAATGTGTAACTATTCTTTGTGAATATTTAAATGTGGTACCCGCTGCTTTGTACATCGGGTTCGAACCAGCCAACCAATCCCGTTAGCTCGGTGGTTGAGTGGTGGGGCGTCTGCACTAGAAGGCAGGAAGTCGTGCGTTTGAGTCCCGACCGAGTGATTTTTTTTCCAACTTTCACTCAGAAGGTAACACACTGTGTAAACAGTGTTTATAAGTCTGTGTAGGGCAAAACCTTATATTTATTTACATTGTAATGTGTTTATTCACTGAACAATTAATAAAACCATTGAGTGCTGGGCGGTTTCAGGCACTACATAGTGACTTATTACTCACTGTAGGGTGGTTTCAAGCACCTCAGTTACCAAAGAATTAAATATAATCTTTTGGCTTTTATTCAACTGGATCATACATGTATATTGCTTTTGAGATCAAAATATAAAATATAACACACAACTGTCCAATTCCAATTGCTGTTAACTTCTTTGCCTTTGCTTGTTTTTGGCCATTCCCTTTTGTTGTTGAATTGAATCTGTGCACTTCATATGGCACATGCTTAGCAAAAGTTTTATTCTTGCCATAGTCAAAATCCATAATTCTAACCTTTTTTTAGAAAGCAGAGCCAGGAATCAATAAAAGTCAGGTAAAAGAAGATGAACAATGACAAAGGAATGTCATCGTTGTAGTGAATTTAAGGGGCTGTTGCTTGACTAGAGATTAGTGACTTGACTTGTGATCGACTTGACTCTCTTGATCTTTATTACCTGAATGCAATCTGTAATCATTAAATAACAGTAGTTGTAATGATGCTACACTGACAATTATCACCTTAAGCCAGCCGCACACGAGAGCTACATGCTGAGCAATAAGTCATTCGAGGCAATTTGCTTAGCACGCAGCTCACAAAATACTCACCATGTGCGGTCAACCTGAGCTACGCGCTGAGCTAAAAAAATTAACAAGCCAATGAAATCACAAACTCTGTAAATGTGTATATTTTTGTGCAAATCATCCAAAGCCTTCTGTGTTTGTCCTTTTTTTAATCACCGGACCGACAAACAAGAATAATGTGCTTTCATTGGCTAGTTAATCGTTTTAGCTAAGCGCGTACATGTAACTCTCATGTGTGGCTGGCTTTAAATTACATGTATAACTCATTCAGAAATTTCAATCCCCAGCATTTTCCTGAAATGTTGAATGGGGAGAATGCAGTGATAGTGTTCTGCAGGATTCCAGGTAGTTCTTCAAAACTGTAGGTGGTCTGGGGTCTGTAAAGGACTTGCTTCCATGGCTTGTATCTAAAAGAATAAATCATCAGTACCCTTTAACAATGGAGGTTTCTGCAGAGTATGTCTGTTGTCTCAACTTTAAGTTGAGGAAACAGAAAAATTAATTGAAATGCATAGCAATTCAGTACTGAGAAATACAATGTTTAAGTTCAAACTGGCATGACAAAGACACACATGTTAAAAAAAAAACCAACAAAACAATGAAATTGCTCTATTTTCATTCCCCATTAGGGAATGAATATCAGCTAGTTTATAGTATGTACACATATAGACTGGCAATGAGGTCACTAGTGCAAGTCTATGTGCCCCAGCGTGAGTGACCAGAAGAGGGTCCTATTTCCCAATGCCGAAAATAGGACCCTCTTCTGGTCACTCACAGACCCGAGGGGGCAGAGATGTGCACTAGTGATCGAATTAAGCCAGTCCATATGTGTTTTTTTATAACACCTCACCCACAGATTCTGTGTCTTGATTGGCCGAGAGCGAGTCACATGTTACTTTCTAATTTTGCTATCTTTCTTTGCACGGCCAAAAGTACTATACCCGTAGCAACCAAAGTACTATACCATTAGCAACCAAAGTACTACACCACTCGAAGCATTCAATATTTGTATAATAACTCACCTCTTTCCTAAATCTAAAATAAGAAAAGAAACCTTTCAGGGTTTTATTATTGAACTGTTTATTGAACTAATTTCAACAATTAACAATTAAATTTCAACAATTAAAGGAACGTTTTAAGTTTCTTTAGATTAAATTTTTGAGTTTGAGTTTTTTCAGAGGGCGCTGTTACCAGTCAAAAGTTTTGAGTATAGTGCCCGATCGGGCACTATACTCTGGATGTTACGCGCGTGCAATGTCTCGACGCGCCTCTAGATCATGCTGACCCAAGTTTCATACACTAGCCTATATTAGTGAATCACACGTGACCATGTTTCAGCCAACCCGGATAAAGAGCAAGCAAGAGGTGTGTTATAATTTTTTATACAACACCTGAATAAATCCCCGTCATCTGATTGGTGAACTGTAGATCACGTGACATATTATTATTCGGTATAATGCACGGTGCGACCATGCGTTATACCCATGCGTTATACCGTTTAACTTTGCGCTTGTTCCATGACGCGGTATTTGCGTGCAAATGCATGCTGGTGTGCGCGTTCAGCGTAGCGCGTATTGTTCTAAAGAGCCAGCGCTACAGCGTTGGGTTCAAACATTTTCGTGAAGGGGTAGTTCAACATCTTTAAAATCAAAATAAATTGTAGTTTATAATTTACCAATCAAATGACGAGAATTTATTCAGGTGTTGTATAAAACAAATAACGAATGTTTTACGTTCGTGCGATGGAAAGAATAATTTCATTCGGTGACAGATTGAATGTTCCATTCCACTCGGCTTCGCCTCGTGGAATAGAACATTCAATCTGTCACCTCATGAAATTATTCTTACCATCGCACTCACAAACATTCGTTATTTGTATAATAGTATACAATATGTAAGGTGCAGGCGCAGTAGACTAACGATCTAGTAACCAGTGCGATAGTCTACTAAGCATGCGTATTTAACCTGTGCGTGAAATCCCAAGAGCGTGCTTGGTAAATAGCAAAACTAGCGGCTGACACGTGATGGTGCATGGACTAGTGAGAAATTAGAAGAACTAGAAAAAGAAGTCAAACTGGGGGCGCATGGCAGGCCCATTGCAGGAGACCCCCATTAAAAACATTTGAATCTCTCCCATTGGGCTAGTTCCCAAAGCAGAGCCAGGTAGTTACAGATTGATTCACCATCTCTCCTACCCTGAATCAGACTCGGTAAATGATGGGACTGACGGACAACTTTGTTCAGGTCAGTACTCCAACTTTGACATGCAGTTTTAGCTTAGTAATTATATCTGGTAAGGGGGCCCTTTTGGCAAAAGTAGACATTCAATTTGCATTCCGTCTTTTACCAATCCAATCCATTTTTTTTAATGGGCCGACTATTTTGATGTTGGTGGCGCCACTTACACCCCTATTATTCTACTTGAAAATAGGCCACATACATACCACCAAGGTAAAAGTCGGACTAAAAAAAAAAAAAAAAGACAACCTCTAAGCCCCCCCCCCCCCCGAGCCCCCTTGGGTGTGCCACTGGTGTGCAGGGTCGGGACATGTATGCCACTACGTGGACGATTTGGGGACCGGCTACGGGCGGTTCCCCATCTTGTCACAGCACTCGGATTTTTTTCACAATATGTAAGGAATTTGGGGTTCCTCTCGCAAAAGAAAAATGGTCCACCCTACCAGTTGACATTCCCGGGAAAACAGATAGATTCCGTCTCCCAAACAGTAACAATCCCTGCATATTATCTCAGGTCTATTGACGCAAAAGACGCACTCCTCACACCCAAGCTAACCCCTCACGTCTCTTCAATCTCCCATTGGATCAATATCCTTTGTGTGTCGTGAAGAACCTCCTGGGCAAGCCTCCCTCAGGAGGCTCATCGATGCCATCAAAGGCATGAAACAGCAATTGCACAAAATCAGACTCCCCAAAGGTGGGAAGGAGGACCTGCAAATGTGGCAGGTTTTCCCTCTAAACTTTAATAGCAGAACAATTGGTTACTAAATGAAGACCTTCAGCTTTTTACCACTGCCAGTGGGGGGACGTGCTTTTGGGGATACTTTCCTGTAGTAGTAGCTCAGGCCCTTTCCGGCAAACAAGTTCTAATACGTTTAGAAAATGCAGCAGTGGTGTCCATTATAATATTAGCAGTCATTCAACTGCTGCGAAATCATGAAATCAGATTCTTTTTTCAACAGTGCCTCTGCGACAACAATAATTTCAAAGCCAGTCACATTCCGGGCATTCATATTAACATTGCTGACGCGCTCTTTCGTTCGCAAATGCCTAATTTAGACAATTGGCCCCTAAGCTACCCCTCCCGGGTCGGAAGTCCCAGAGTTCCCATGGAAGCTTTAAACTTAAAAGCACTACATCTTTTGTAAGTGGCACCTGGGAGGCATACGGGAAGGGTGCAGAGTGGTTCAACCAATTCCAGCTCTAAAACAAACTCCCCCAATGTGGCCTGCTCCAAGTAGCTGCATTCATTGCACATCTATCCATGGAAGGACTAGCCCCCTCCACAATTGGTACGTATACCGCGGCAGTTGCCTACACACAAATAATCAATGGCTGGCCCGACCTCACTGATTCATTTCTGATAAAAAAGATCAGGAAAGTTTGCCGCCGGCAGGGCCTGAGCTCTGACCCCAGATGCCCCATCACAGCAGATCTGCCCGGGCAAATATGTTACATTTTACAAACAATTACATAATCAGACCTTTAGACCACCCTGTTCCGTGCAGCATTTATCTTAGTTTTTTTTGTTTTTTTTTGTGCTTGCGAGTAGGGGAATTTACAGAAGCCACTAAATCCTGCGATCACTCAAAGATTCTGAACCTCCGTGCCCGACATGCCCCTGCTGGTCGTGAAGGGTAGATTTTCCAAAACTGACCAATGCAGTGCTTCCACTGAGCTGCTGCCCAATAAAGGGCCATCCCAAAATATATTTGCCCCGTCGTCTGGGTTTCCAACAATTACGGCTCCGCCCCCCTCAACCAGGCCCCTCTTCTTTCACATTGATGTCACCCTCCTCACAACTTACCAGCCTGGCCAAATGCTAACCAAATCTTTGGGGGTCCTGGGAATCCTATCCACAGGCTTCAACACCCACAGCTTTCGCATTGGCGCTGCTACTTTGGCTGCCCTTAAAAGCAACCCCCTTGCCCCAGATTCAGGCCCTTGGGCGAGTTTTGTGCTTTATTCACAGGTACACTCCGCATATGAGTGGTGGGTGATAGCATCGTTTATCGAGCGGCGGACCACATGCATAGCTGCCAACTTTTCAAAATCAAGTAAGTAATCAACCCGAGCGGTCATTTTCAACTGCGTTTACATTAACAGTGTATGTACCAGCTTTACCAACATCACACATAGGTACATGGTTTACACGTACACATACATGTGCATACCCTTCTTGTTGTGATTAATAATGCACTGTAGGCCATAGGATCATTAGAATTAATTAAAAGAAAAAATAATTGATTTTTTTTTTTATTATTTTTTTTTTACTGTCTGTATTTGTTTGTTGAAGTCAAATAAATAATAACATGTGCGCATATATTTCTGAGATGCATTCTATCAATGTTGAGTTTCGAGTTTGTATGTTTTTACATACATTTAGGGCCACCCTACACGATAGAAATATCCCGCCAACATACCTTGCAAACAAATGCTGATTTATCTTTTCTGGACGTTGTGATACAATTCTTCCAACCATACTCTTATTAAATTCCATGATCAAAATCTCGCACTGATGGATCTCATCCCAGCAACAAGTGACCAATGTGCTCACGATCGTCATTGAAAAGTAGTCAGTACACATTGTACATCCACATGCGATAAAAACGTTGCAACACACACGCAGTAGCACACACCATTGAAAAATAGTTTTAGTCTGGTACTCAAGTATTCCACACCACATTGATGTCTATCAGGTGCCTGACCGCATTGCTTATTAGACTTGTGTCACCAGTCCATCCTTTATCGTAAATTAGGGCCTACATTTCACCAGAAGTTTTCGGGCAAAAAACGATACCTAACAAGTATTTTTTTTTCCGTAGAAAATGGGAAATTCGTAATTTTTTAGTGGCAATTCGTATTTTCATAATTTAACAAAAAACATGTAACAATTACGAAAAATTTGTAATAGTTGGCAGCTATGCACATGGTTCAGCTCCCATCACTAGGGATCCTTACATGGCTTGGGTGTCCGGGGGGAGAAGATCACCTCTTTGGTCCCCTACGTCCAACCCCAACTGCGCCGTGCACCATATCCCAACATGATTGTTATCCATCTAGGCAGTTATTATGATTTTGTTCTCAACAACAACAATGAACAAATTCAGTGGAAGAATGGAAGAGGGCCTCCGGGGCCTATATGGTACTTGCTCCCCTACACCGTTATCATGTGGTAAGATATCCTCCTGTGCCTCTTCTATTACAGGGAAGAGTGTCCAGGAGTTGGGAAGAGGAATATAAATGCACTCAACATATACACGCATAGGTTTTGTAAACACATGGGTAATGCCCATGCAATAGTTCACTCGAATACCATCAACCCGAGCAAACATTGTGCCTACTGGCAGGACGGCTTGTATCTGTCCCAACTAGGCTGTCACAATTTGACAACTGCCTTAACGTTTTTCAGGAGCAACTTCGAGGCCCTCCTCCACCACCCTCAGGTTCAACCAGTATTCACCACGATCACCCAAAAATAAAAGCAAAAGCACTTTTACTCTTTTGTAATCCCAACCCCTATTGTGTCCTTCCAGTAGCCTCATTCACTAGGAAATAATAGGTACTTAGCACTTACATGTTTATACTTCTAAAGCCTGATTCATACTTGGCGCGAAAGCGAAGCGAATGCGAATTTGTGACGTCAAGGGGAGTATTCACGCTGCGAATTCGTAAAAGTTGAACAAATTTCAACCTGGGCGAATTTCGCAGCGAATGTTTCATGACGTCAAATTCGCTTCGCATGAAGTATGGACCGGGCTTAATGTTCAAATATGTTAAATATGCGTTCTGCCTTTCACCGACGTCATCGGTGAAGGGCATATTGAATTTACATTACCCTGACGCAAATTCCATCTAATGAATAATTGGGTTTATATTTGATTGTTTGCTGGCATTTGAAAGTCGAAATTAACCTCAGGCAATATGCTTCAAAGTTCACTGGAAAAATGTGCACAGTTTTTGGACATAATATGCTTGTGTATACATGGATCACATTCAGAGTCATGGTAAATATCTGACATTTTGAAGTTTCATTATTTTTTTCCATTTGGTCAACAAATTGTTTGCTTACTCTGAGGTCTCCTTTGAGCAACATCAGTCAGGAATTGACCAAGAACAACTAATTCATTGTGCAGCTTTTCAGTGATGTCTGCTATTTTTTGTTCTCGCTTGTCAGTGCGTTTCTTCAGATCAGTAATATCGTCAAGGAGGATGTGATCTCTGCCAGATGACTCTTTCTGCATGGATCTCTCCTTTCTCCAACCCATGACCAGCTTGTCTAATGCAAAATGAGGGAAATCATTTTTATGGTTTACTTCTAGTTTTCCAAAAAATATGTAACAGGATCAGATAGAATGAAATTATTACATCATATGAATCTGCATACTGCAAAAAGCTCAACTTGATCCATCATGTGAAGTCAAAGGATGCAAGAAAATAAAGTACTTGAAACTTCCCACAGGTTTGTGGAGAATTTGTTCATCTTTTGACATATTAATGAACAACTTCTCCACAAACCGGGAGTGAGTTTGAAGTCTAAAAACATAAATCACCTTCAATTCTTATGAATTCATTTTCAATGTGCATACACAAAATTCTAATGATACTTATGGCCCCCCTAAAAAAAGTCTCCGGTTTCTGGTATGAGCCCGTGTCGCCATAGCCATGCGCGTCGGCAAAATTAAAAAGTTTTTTTTTTCAATGTAAGATGATGTCTCAAAACCGCCAAACTCACTGGTTTGACTGGAATCCTGCTGTTGCACAATTTTAACGTGATTTTAGATGGGGTTACGATCAAGTATAAGCTTTATGTGGCCTCTCTGGGCTCGAATACATTTTGCACTAATTTTAGTTGGGCACCATTTGCAGTCATCAGCCGACATTTGAAGGAAAAAAAGGAAAAAAAGAAAAAAGGAAAAAAAAAAAGAGCCGCGTCGTTGCACTTCTTGCACCCTAAGGCAAGCTCCATACCAGAAACCGGAGACCTTTTTTTTGGCCTATAATAACAAACACTGATGGAAATGTTGTACAGAGCATTCTTCCACAAGTTACAGTAAAGCTTACCCACAATGTATAAACAAAAACCAAAACAATGAATGGTGAAAATACAAACCTAATAGCCCTAAATTACCTTCCCCCCCCCCAACAAGTGTTTGCTGATTCTACTAGCGAGTACTTTACCTGTAGAGCAATACTACATATGCAATATATCTCCTAGAGGGCGCAATCCATTCCTTAAGATATATTAGATAATGCAAAAAGACTATCTATATGCAGTACTGACCAAACTCTGTTACGTTAAAAGGGAATACAACGCCGCGACTCAGCACAAACTATGTAACGGCAGATGGGGCAACGGGCAAAACAACATTGTGACATAATCAATTCATATCAATTCTGGCTTATTAGTTAATAAGTCAAAGTACATGTATGTAAATGCACGTGTGAATTGACATGAACATTAATGTGGCAAGTTCGCACACGGGAGCAGTGGTCACGGCAGACTCACTGTAGGATTTCTCCTGGTTTTCACCAGGGCGATCCCTGGGGTCGCTCATGGGCTTTTTGGAGAGGGGCTGGAGGAACACTTTCAGAACAGCCAACACAGTAAGTGAACCAATATGGGGTGTCAAACCAGTATGAAATGGACGCAGAAATAAGGGTAGGCCATTAGGGTTTGAAAAGAAAAAGTGTCATGATGAGGCAAAGTGCCACTCTGTAGCTCTGCGTGCTAGGCCCACGGGAACAGGGGGTGCTGGGGGGGGGGGGGGGGTCAGCAACCCCAACTTTTTTGATGGGGATGCGGGAATATGCTAAAGCACCCCCTACTTTTAGTAGATATGAATGCACATAATGTCATATCAATAATATAGACTTACCTAAGCGAAAACAAAATGAAAAGTATTTGAAAGAAATGTAATTTTATTTCCCGTCATGTCGGCACTGTCGAGGGAATCAATGCAAGTTGCGTGCGCCTGCCCAGTACTAAACTAGCAGTAGCCACTAATACAGCGTCAGTTTTATAGTCTGTTTACGGGCCTTCTCGTTTACACAGTATCCACACAGTATCAACATCGTGCCATAAGTGGGCATATTACGCCCCACCGCATCCCTCACAACACTTGGTGCGGTAAATCGTGTACTCATGGGAAAAAGGATGTTACATGCTGTGGAAAACGATTGAAAAAATGTACATGTACTACCATAGAGTGTCCTTTCTCTATACTATGGTACTACTACGTTGATCATTCAGTTGCACTAGTTTCATGAGTTTTGTCATAGGCAACAGCGAAGAGTTTCGGCAAAGTATAATACTCGTGAAAAGTGTGGATTCTAATCTCACTAAAAATAGTTCTGCTTCTGGTTACCTGAGGCTAATCCTATTTTTAGGCCGGGAACATAAACATTTCATCGTCAATATTAAGTCCCCCCCCCCAAAAAAAGTATACATTTTAATAAATCCTGTTGTCTTTTCTGTCTTCACAAAACACCTCTCAACACCCATTTTGCGATAAAATGCCTGTATTTATTTGTTTGCATATACTTACATTCACAATTTTTTTAAAAGAAACCTCCGTTGTTTTTAAGTTTGCTTCGCGATAAAGTTCGCAATTTGACGTCGCGGTGACAATATCGAAACCCGTGTGTAATGCTCGATCCAGCAATGACTGGTTCCCGCCGTGCCGCCAAAGGGCCCAAGAAGGCACGATTGAAATGCGGTATAACCAGTAATCCATTAAAAAAACAGCATTACAAATTTTGTTTACATACATGTACATGGTTCATTGTGGTGTAAACTTTCTCTCCCCCCCCCCCCAAAAAGTGTAATAGCGTCAAAAAGTGGCTGAGATTGCACCACAGAGAATCTAGGATCCCAGAGCTTCCGACGCCAAAATGGCTTCACACTTTGCGCTCGCCGATTGCCTTAAACAAATTCCAGCACCCCCTGTCAAAAATTTGTTCCAGCAAGCCTGGGGGATATCAGTCTTGGTCAATGCCAAGTGACCGATTAAAGAATCAAAGTGTCTCTCTGTGAACCTGGTGGAGAAGTCTTGGTATTAGGTCTGGCAATTGCCGCATGAGCAGCACAGAACTGATGGTACACATGCAATAGGGAGTGAGTGAACTGCCGAGAGGGGGCAACGTGTCTCTTCATGGACCTAGGCAGTTTTATAATATGGTGTGAGTGACTTGCCAAGATGGGGCCGAGTATCACTTTGTGGACCTTGGCGGACAAATTCTGGGATCTGTCCAGACCAATACTGCATAGGAAGGCAGAACTGATCGTATTGCATGTATATGGAGCGAGTGACTTGCCAAGATGTGACAAAGTGTCAGTTCATGAACCACAAGCAATAGAAGGTGAACACATGAATGCACTATGAATAGAAACATAAACATTACAACGGAGAAAACGTTTGAGAGCATGCGGTAAATACCGCATGGGCAGCACAGAACTGATTGCATAAATGGTAGCAAGTGACTTGAAGTGACTAGGCATGGGGTTCAGAGCCAGCCTAAGGGGCCCAAAAATTTTTGAACTTTAGAAGCTCTCTGGTGCATTTTAGAGAAAATCTGGGATCTTTGTGGTAGATTTTCCTCATAATTCAGAAGAGATTTATAATATCTTTAAAAATAAAAATTGAATGAACATTTCTCAAACATTACAACTTCCAAAACTGGAAAAGTATGGATTAGTTTCAAGTTGACAAATAAGTTGAAGATAAAAAAAAATCTGATTCCTATCACATGCCTTTCCAAAAATTAGGGTCAGAGGTTGGATTTTTTGTTTTATTTCGCCAAAAAAAACAACTGTGGAGCAATAATAGAGCATGCAAGGAATTGTACAATTGTACAGTGGCGCCACAAAGTTATCGAGATTGACCATCAAAACTTTTTTTATAAAAATTTGCCCTAACTAATATGAAAATATATTCAAGATGGATGACTCTTTAAAATAATGGAGAATTTAAGTCGTCCAGGCCACTGTGCTAAAAAAATGTCAATGTTAGTTACTGTCAGCTGCCGGCCAGCCCCAGCCATATATCCTGTTGCGCACATGGCCCACTATCGGTGTGCATGACAGCACTGTGAATTGTGTAGTTGGCCCGGAAACGAACCCATGTGCTTTGGCCAAAAAGTTTGTACAGGTAGGGTTCTTAGACGAAGATTGCTATTGTCTTTCCTGTGTTACCTCCGGTCTGGAGTATGTCACGTAGGGAGCAGAATGTGAATGTCGAGGCCGACTTCCAGCATACTACCTGTGAAATTTCTGAGATCCCCTACCGCTATGGCCCGTACATCATGGGCCCAAACAAAGCACTGGACAGAAGCGTCCCTTTTGTATGGCCTGTCCAAGTTTAATTTGATTGCTGAGAATACCCAATGGGCAATGGTATCCCTTGAAGCGAGGCCATGCAGCTGTGTTGCTGTAATAAAAAGCTGCGTGAAACCATCCCCGAGGGGTGTCGTTATGATGGCATTTGTCACACAGTTCCTCCATTTGTTTCGGTCTTCTGCTGTTCTGAGAAGTTTTGCAAAATTAAGACCAGTCCACTCCTTGATGTTGTCTACCCACATTTTCTGCTGTCTTCCCCTTTTGCGGCTACCATCTGTCCCACCCTCCAGGATTGTGTTTGCAAGACTCCCCTTTCATCTGACCATGTGTCCAAACCAGTGCAGTTTTCTCTTTTTGACGATTGTGACTAATTACCCCCCCCCCCCCCCACAGTAGTGTGGTTGGGGTCTACGAGCAAATACTTACCAGGAGAGTGAATACTACATATGCATTGTTCCCTATGCCGGCAGGCAATTTGCTAAGAGTTTTACACACAATAGCGCCCTCAAGTGTCCTACATTAGCGTCCTCTTTTTCTCAAGCGTTACCTGCGTAAGCACTCAAGGAATCGAGTATAGTCAAGGAATCGCCCGGGATGTGGACTGCCGACAGTGCTATCCCGTGATGTATGTACCAGAGGGTGAGATCCCACGTTAGTGCACACAGACGGCCTGACCAACCCACCACTAGCCAATCGTCGAGGTACATGAATATCATGGTCCTTCGTCACCGCAGTGCCGCCCCGATCGTCTTCACAATCCGGGTGAACACCCACGGAGAAGTGGACAGCTCGAACGGGAGCACCACAAATTCGTACAGTATATTTTTGTATTGGAAACGTAGGAATTTGCAGTGCTCCGGCCTGATCGGTACGTGAAAGTACGCGTCCTTCAGGTCTATACTGGCCGCCCACGCTGGCGTTATGATTGATTCGAGAATGGT